GTTTAAAGTTGATGGATTCAAAATTTCAAAAATAAAGGGGGTGGTTAGTTTGAAATATAGATCCGTATTTTTCCCAAGTGAGCGGGGTATCTCCAATCCCAGCCCTATCGTCCTCCCAGTGTCAGTTTTCAATATAAAATCCAATTTTTTTTTGAAAATAAAAATTTCGAGAAATTTTTCTGATTTTTTTCTTTGATTTCAATAATTCAAAATAAATTTGGGAGTAAACAGACACTATTTAATGAAATTCATATGAGTGAATGTGGATAAATACTCTCAAAACATACAATTTATCTATTTTTTCTTTATATTATCAACTAATTAGTGATAATTTTTTTTGAATCAGATTTTTTTTCATTAAAAACATAATATATAACACAACAATGATGCACACATACGTATCTACACATCAAAATATAAAGCTTGTTTTGGTTTGGGCATCCCAACCCAAAATTCTTAAAAATTGAATAAAATTGAATACTTGGGGCTGGGATACCCATCCCAAAACCGAATTGAATTTTTTGAATTAAAGAATATATTTATGTATTTATAATATACATGTGATGTCTATAAAAAATACTAAATTCTAAAAAAATTCAATTTATTCAAAACGTATACTAAGTGATCACTTCATTAGTAGGATCAGCAATCCTACTAAATGGTGAGAACGCCACTAACTAAAAAGGGAGTCCTTGGATCTCTTGATCTCTTGTCAGTAGAGTTCATAATGAGGCATGGCATCTACTGATTAGAGATCAGAGCAATCCTACCTTACCTTCAGGAGCTACAAAGCTCCTAATCGTTACGAGAGGGAGCCTTGGAGCTCCTGAAGCTCATCAGCAGAGGCTATTTACCATTTGGGCCTCTTCTGATGAAAGATGCGAAACACGTCTACGAACCAGGAGCTTCAAAGCTTCTAATTCTTACTAAAGGGAGCTTTGGAGCTCCTGAGTCTCCATCAACAGAGTCCCAGATGGTAAATGTCCTTTGCTGATGAAAGATGCGAAACACATCTACGAACCAGGAGCTCCAAAGCTCCTAATCCTTACGAAAGGGAGCTTTGGAGCTCCTGAAACTCCTTTTACTATAAAATAGGACAGTTTTCTTCTGAGGTTCTCATCAAATCTAAGACTTCAGAAGAAAGCTGTCCTATCAATGTATACTTACACTCTCATGGACAACAAGTGTACAATTTTAAGGCAGAGATTATCCGAGGCCTCTCATCAAATGAGGGACCTCGGATAATCTCTACCTTAAGTAGTCAAATAACTTTTCTCACTATTTAGGAACAAAAGAACAAGAGTTGGAGTACTTTAAGGCAAGATTCTTCCGAAATCTCTCATCGAATGAGAGACTTCGGAAGGACTTTGCCAAATCCTTGAACGCCAATATCCTTGGAACTGAGCTAGAACCAGGGAGAAGTAGCATACTATAGAGCACGATGGTAATCTCGGAAATGCTTATATCGCCCCAAGCACAATATTTAAGAAGTCTAACTCATATATACAAGAAGTCGGGCTGAATAGATATTGTGCATATGGTTTGCAGAACTCTCATGATATTTAAAATTCATGTTATCCCAAAAAGGTGACAGTTTGGGTGTATCGTCCATCCCAGGGATGCAAAAATCACATCACCTTGGATCTATAGTTTGAAATCTATTCCTCAATCAAGAATCACCTCATTAATGAAAATAGATGATTTAACAAAAAGAATATAAGAGATTGAAGAAAGAATGAATCAAATAATTGATTTCATAAATTCAAATAATCATTAGTTTCTTAAAGTTCAATGTTGAACTCATCAAATTCATCTTCATCATTACCATTACCATTACCTTTAGCGAGTTTATTTACTCTTTCAACTTTATCTTTTGATAGTCTTTCGTTTAATTTTTCTGAAGTTTTTCGTTACCAAGTTCTAAAATTTTACATGGATGATATGTAAACCCGTTAAATTCTTTTTCCTCAGTTTTAATCATTAATCTACAAAGAACTTTAGTGAGGTGGTTTTGTTGTTTAAACCATTTATCCTTAATATTTGTTATAAATTCAATATCCGGAATTAATTCCCAAATTTTTGAATTTTCGATTAATTTACCATCAAATGCAAAAGCAATAGGTTTAATATTAAACCTACCTTTATAAAATAAACTTTGTATGCAATCATCAAAATAAACGTCTACTTGTTTAACCTGGGTGAGAATTGGTGAAAGTTTATCCATTAATTGATTCACACTCACGAATTTTGATTCACTCATTTCTTACGAATTAAAAAAATTAAATTCAAAAATGTAAGACATGAATTTTTAAAGTTTATTTTTATTCATGAAAATAATTATTTCTAATTTCTTTTACTCTCTCGTATATACTAGATTTAAAGAATTCAGAACATTTCCCATAATCTCCTAAATGTTTTCTTATCCCTAACGTGTGCCAGTTATTATATGAAACTGAATAATCTTTATCTTTATCTTTACACCTTTCATCACTTCCAATATATTTATATCTCAGTTTTGATTTAGCATTTTCATATTCATTAGCGTTTAATAATTCACAGTCTTCCTTTTTAAATTGATGTTTAAGATATTCAGGATTTAATACTCTACGTTTATATGCTCCTAACTTAGTTCTAAAGGTTTTTCTACAAAATTTAGGAATTCCATCCTCTTTAATGTCATCAATGATTTCCATTTCATTATTTTCAATTTCTTCTTCTCGTTTATGAGGTCTTTGATTATGACTCCATTGATTCCATGAAATTAAATATTCTTTATCATTATATTTATACCTCATTAGCTTATTTTGGCTTTCATATTCATTTAATAATTCACAATCTTCATTTTTAAATTGAAGTTTAACCCATTCAGGATTTAAACAATGTTTAATTAATCGCGGAATATCTGACATCATCTATATATAGCTTCTTTTATAAAAGATAAAAAATAAATTATTTTAAAATTAATGTTAATTTTTTTAATGATTTATAAATAAATATATTTTAATGCATCGTCTATATATAGATGTAACAAAAAAAGTCACTAAACCCGTCATATCCTACTACTTTTCCAAATTTTTTGTCGATTTCGGAAATAACAGGATCCCGCATCCAACACGCAACAACAAAACACAAAACACACTTTTTAGTTCTTTCATCGTTTTAATCGTAATTTATGTAATACATGATTTGGATAAATTTTACAAAAATAGAACCTATATTATATTCTTTTCAAAGATTCTTGCAAATCATCAAAAATAATTGTATTTTAAAAAACGATCAAATTATCCTTTCATTATTTTAAATTTAAATTAGTTTTTATGATTGACTAAAGCAATCATATTTATTCATCATTAAATAAACAAAAAAATAATATTTGAGAGTTATTTCAAAAAAAAACACATTGAATTTATTAATTTTGTTATAAACAGAAATTCATCAAAAGTGACAGCTCTCAATTTTTTGACATTTGTAAATTCTAAATTGAATGAGAAAAATGAAATAATACTAAGCAAAATACAATATTCTAGATTTAATTATAATTAGGAAAAGTTAGTTTTGAGAGTACTTTTCATAGGCATATAGAATGAAATCTCCTGGAAAATAATATCACATAAACTCATATTATTTTCTAATATATAACTATTTTATATAAAAATCAAATTCAATGATCTTAAAAGCGAAGGATAAACCTCAAAATTTACGAATATAATGAGTGGGAATATAATGCTTATCTATCATAAAACCATATGAAATATCAATTTTTGCTTTACGCCTAATTTTTGACGACAATTAGCAAAAAATGTTAAATGTTAACACTCAGTCCATTTGAATATGAAAAATAAAATTGACTTTGATTAAATGTTTTTATTTATCATGCAATTCTTCTTGCGACCAAAGATTTGAATAAAATTTCAAAAAATAAGATAGCTTAAAAAATAATATACGGTAGTGTTTACTAATAGATGAATAGTATATAAATTCTATTAAAATGGATTTGATCCAAAAAAATATAAAACCAAAAATAATTGTTATAATTTAAATGAAGAAGTAATTTAAAACGATTTTATTTATGATCAAATTTTATATATTTTTTTGGATCAAATCCATTTTCATAGAATTTATATACTATTCATCTATTAGTAAACACTACCGTATATTATTTTTTAAGCTATCTTATTTTTTGAACTTTTATTCAAATCTTTGGTCGCAAGAAGAATTGCATGATAAATAAAAACATTTAATCAAAGTCAATTTTATTTTTCATATTCAAATGGACTGAGTGTTAACATTTAACATTTTTTGCTAATTGTCGTCAAAAATTAGGCGTAAAGCAAAAATTGATATTTCATATGGTTTTATGATAGATAAGCATTATATTCCCACTCATTATATTCGTAAATTTTGAGGTTTATCCTTCGCTTTTAAAATCATTGAATTTGATTTTTATATAAAATAGTTATATATTAGAAAATAATATGAGTTTATGTGATATTATTTTTCAGAAGATTTTGTGTTCTTCTTCAAAATTTTATTTTTTATTAAAAAGAATCTTTACAAAATATACATTTACTTTAATTAATATTTAAAAACGTGCTCTATCAAAAGTGCCAAAAATTCAATATTTTAGCTTTTCTGAGGTGTCACTTTTGATGAATTTCTGTTTACAACAGTATTAAGTGGTCTCAAATTGAGCTTCTCAAATATAAGTTGGCCTATTCAAATAATAAAATTAAATAATATTTAAAATAATAAATAAAAGTGATTGAGGTCATAGCAAAACGGCTGTTTGGAGGCAGTTAGGAGCTAGCGGTTGAAGCGATAACTTTCACAGCCAACATCTACGGTCAAGCAGCAGCAAGGAGCTACGGCAGCAAGGGGCTACGGCAGGTCAAGCGGCATCATTCAAGGCCAACATCTACAATCAAGCTGCATCAAGGGGCTACAGTAGGTCAAGCTGCAGCATGGAGCTACAGCATCAAGGAGCTACGGCAAGTTAAAGATCAGTCAGATCTGGAAATATCTTTTTTCAGGATTTCATTTGTCATGAAAAGCTTCAATAGGATTCTACACTTTATTAGATCTTCACGTGCGTTTTGATTAAACCTATTACGCAGGTTCCGCACAATTGAAATCATTCTTTCCACATCAGCTTCGGTTGCAGCAATAGACATGAATTTTAAGGCAATCTCTTTCAATGCCTTGAAATTTGCATCACATGCTACCCAAAACCTTTGATCCAAGCAGGTGAGGTCGGTGTTGTTCCTGATTTCACTCTCATTCATATGTATAAAGTTGGAAAGAGCTTTCTTGTACTCATTAGCTATGTTCTTGGCCGAACTTCTCTTGTAGAACCTCGCTTCTGCTTCTGCACGTCTCGAAAGCATCTCGATCATAAAATCGTTGAAGCTGTACTCTTCCACTTCTTGCATTGACAGAGACGCCCATTCACCAAGGTTCCTGCCTAGTCTCCTCCTTGGTTCATTCTCTTCAACTTCTTCATCCTGAGCAATGTCTTCTGCATCTACTTGGCCATCACCTTCAATTGCTTCGTTCTCAATCTCGGGCTCTTCTATATCTAGATTTCTGTCCAATTGATCCTCTGCCACTTCATCCAAATGATCAGGGGTGTAGCTCCTTGGAGGGATTTCAAGTTCAGCATTGATAGGTATTGGTTCTTGGAAGAAGAGTGAAACGTCTGGCTTGTACTCAGTATGCATGTTCAATTCTGCGCGGATGACTGACCGGCCCCATGGAGTTAGACCAAAGGCAAATTTCAGCAAAGCGTAGTTGCCCTGTTTGTCAAAAACTTCATTCATGTTGGCGATTAATGCATCTGCAATGCGCTTTGACGAACTTGATAATTCAGGACGATTTGCAATTCCGGTCAACTGCTCAATCGTCGATTGAAACATTGGATAGATGTAGCAGAAGCAGCCAACGTCACTCTCTGCATAATTCAAGAGTTTCTTGATTGGTAAAAGAATCTCTTCGAAATTTAACAACCATTGTGGAAGTCCATCCTTGAAATCAATTCCCATATCCCTTAAGATCTGAACAGATTCCGGTGGATCATCCATATTGAACAATTCATAAATTTTAGGGTGTTTTTCTTTTATCCACTTCAGAAGATCCCAGAAAAACACCCAGCGATGATCCGGAACATGAATAACCCTCATATCCAATGCCCTTCTCGTGTCCTGCTTCGATAACTCCTTGCTTATCTCTTTGCAATAATTAATTTGCATTGCGAAAGCTGCACAATTGTCTGCCGTATGCTTCACCACTAAGTTAAGGAGATGCGCAACACATCGGATATAAACGGTTTGAAGACCCGGATATAGTGCTCCGCATCTCCTCCAGTGGCACAGCCCTTTAACTTGGGCGGGGCATCCATCGGCAACAATTGCAGAAAGGAAATCCTTTGGGAAGGTAAAACATTCAAAGAAATTATTGTAATCCCTGGCATTCCAACCATCAGCGATCATAGTATCAATGAAGATATGGTTCTTCATTTTTGCTGGATTGCTAGCCATCACAAAAAAGCCATGCCGGCTTCCGTGTGATGCCGCATCAATTGTTATCGAATAGTAGCCCATCTTGTCAAGCTCAACGTGTATTTTTGGGGCTACCAAGTCGGCTAATGTAATGATTCCATCCCTTATCTCGTCTCTTCTATATGGGATCTTGAGTTGAAAATTGATTACTCCCTTGAAGGTGGAGTAGACATGTCGGGCGAAATCTTCTAGTACACCTGAAGCGGCCATATTGATTGACATGTTGTTATCCACAACAAATTTTAGAGATTATTTTTTGTCGCATATTTGCGCATATTATGACACTTTTTCTGACATTTTTCTATAAATTGAGAGCAAAAGTATTCAAAATTTTGTCAAAATATGCGCAAAATTGAGAACTGCGCATATTATGACACACGATTATTTTTGTCCGTTAATGGAAACAAAATCTCTATGCATTGCTTTTCTTCATGTCTTTCGCCTAAAGGTATGTTTAAAACAATATGTATGAGATACGTATTATAAAAGATTTGAAAAACTCACATATTATTATCAAATTTTCAAATTTTTATCGAGAAAATATTGAAATCAAGACGAAAAAATATTGTTCATAACAAAATATTATAAAGATCTAGCATCTACAAGAGTTTCAAAGAAAAACAACCAACTTAAATTTTCTACTTCAAAAATAAGAACATCTTTCAAGTGTGACAAGCAAAAAAAGAATACATACGAATAGTTCAATTTGAAATGAATGATATGTTTATGTATAAGCTAGATTTACCTACATTCGATAATTGCTAAACGTTCATAACTTTGCGAGATATTAAAGAGAATTTATCGCTATTTACGTTATTTTCGACAATATATCAATATACGGCGATTGTTAAGTGAGTAACTGAGAAAAAAATAAAAGATTTGATTAATCTGAAGATCAAAGAAGATAACAAGAGAAAAATATGAATAAATAAATGAATAATGAATAGAAAAAAGAAAGAAGAATATTGAAGATGATTAAATGAAGTTATTATAGGAAAATTAAAAAATATTACTAAAATTAAAGATATCTGACATGTTTACATATCTAATAATAATATATTTGTCATTTAAATCTATTTTGAATCATAGTAAACTATGATTGTCGTATGATTTAAAAGAATCTCTAAATATCAAGTCAATTTCTTATAAAATTGTTATCCATCTCTTACATTTTTTCATAATTACTACCTATATTATCAATCTCAACGATGACAATATCTTGTTATCAATATATTAAATTTAATTTATAAAATTCTTTTGTCTCATACTCGATTTTACTATATTAATACTATCGCATCGTAATATTTCTAATTTCATTGTTATTCATCGTTTCATCATCTTTTAACTATTTTAATTACATCATTTTTCATTAATTCTTTTTCTAATTAACAAATTAAATAATTATTAATAAATAAGGTTTTCACTTTTTTAAATCTGAAAATTACTTTTTTATGAAATTAACAATTAGATATCAAAAGAATGTAATTCTACTTCATTCTAACCAAGATGTTCATTGTTTAAGTTTATACCTTTATATAGCAAGGAAATTCAATCTGAATTTATATTCTTTTGTTATTAAATATAAAAGAAGGGAATTTCATTCAGTTGATATAATTAAATGTTTCAATGATATTGATTTAAACGTTGTAAATGTTGATCCACCCACAGATGTTTTCAATTTGCCATTTTTTGATATGTATCAATTAAAAATTAGTAAATCACAAGAATATAATTCATTAACATCAATGGGATTCGACAAAAATGTTGCAAAAATAGCACTTATTATAACAAAAAGTAATTTACAAGCAGCATTAAAAATTTTAAACTTTAATTTTGATCAAAAATCGGAGGATGAGTCAGAAGAGGAGGAATCCAAAGAAAATGGAACAGAATGTAAGAAAATGGAATCGGAAAGTAAAGATGCTACTATAGATGTTGCTGATAATGATAATGGTGATACAAAATCAATGGAAGATAAATGGCCATTAGGATATTCTGATGAATCACCATCATCATTGGCAGAATTGAAAAATACGGAATGCCAAATATTAAAATTTATTGAAAAACATTCGTCGGAAAACAGTCAAAAACAATCTGAACAAGAAGAACCATTTAATGAATTTGAGTTTGAAAATGAAAGTTGTAATAATATATTACAAAATAAAGATAGGAATCAAGAAAGAAGTTTACAATCCATTGAAAAAAATCAAAATTTGACAAATCAAGAAAGAAGTTTACAATCCATTGAAAGAAATCAAAATTTGACAAATCAAGAAAGAAGTTTACAATCCATTGAAAGAAATCAAAATTTGACAAATCAAGAAAGAAGTTTACAATCCATTGAAAGAAATCAAAATTTGACAAATCAAGAAAGAAGTTTACAATCCATTGAAAGAAATCAAAATTTGATAAATCTTCATGGAAATGTTCAAATTTCACCTTCTCGTTCTAAAAGAATTAATCGAACGGCAATTTTTAGGATACCTTCAAATCCTCCAACTTCTGCAAATCAGAGTTCCGTACAAAGGATTGTTTCTAATCCTCCAATTGCTGCAAATCAGAGTTCCGTACAAAGGATTGTTTCTAATCCTCCAACTGTAGATAGTACAGTTCCATTGCCATCACTTTCAAACATTACTCATTTTACTGATAATCTTCCCATTGATGATCTACTCAATTCAAACATTCTAATTCAAAATGCATTTCAATATCAAAAAACTAAATCAAAAGTCCAAAAAGCTGCCATTACAGAAGATACATGCAAACAATGTGTTCCTAATTATATTATCATGAATCAAGATGAGCAAGACAAATGTAAAATAAGAATAAAAAAACATTCTAAGAACATATCATACTTTTCAAATATCTGATTCAGATAAATTGAAATATCAAAGTGTTATATATCCAGAAGGGATCCCTATTCGCTTTCAAATATATTATTCAAAAATTGATCGATTGGAAATTGTTTATTATTGCGCCAAAAAGAAAAGATGTTCTTATTCTCAACTTGTTACATTGTTCCCAGCAAATACAGGCAAAAAAGCTGAAGTATGTGAAATTAATCCTCCACATCGATGTCCAAAACATACAAAATCTTCAATTATTGATGGTACTAACCAAAATAAATTAGAACTTGAGAGTGAGATACAAAATTTCATTCAAGTTAATCCTATTGTTTCATTAAGTCAGGTAATAGCATTTGCAAATCAGCTTGTGTTGGAATATAACGAATCTCACGATGATATTATTGAAATATCGTCTGATGTTATCAGAAGGTTGTACCAGGAAATTAAACCAAAAATGAAAATGAACGAAGATGAGTTGATTAAAAAATTACTTGAACATTATAACAATCAAAATTTCTATATTACAAAAATTTATTCCAATATTGATGATTCTAAGTTTTACTTTTTTGGATTGCCTTTATTCATTAATCGTGCACGAACTTTAAAACATTTGTTCATAGATGGTACATTCAAAGTGGTACCAATAAATCTCTCAAATGGTCAATTATTGAATTTCTTGGTATTTGATAATGCTACAAATTTATATCTCCCTTTTCTACATGTTTTGATGACGGGAAGAAGTGCTGATGATTATAATACTGTTTTCAATATGATGTTAACACATGAAAAGATTAAAATTGGTCTTAATCAATTTTCCATCATCACAACAGATTTTGAAGCAGCTTTGATGAACTCTATCAAAGAAAAGATCAGCAAAGAGACAGTTCTTACTGGATGCATATTTCATTACATTGCTGCGCTTGTAAAGAACTTTAAGAAGTTGTGCAATCAAGATGATCATGCATCCAAATCTTTATTAAAATTATTATGTGGGTGCCCATTCGTTCCTAATTCAGTTTTTAAACTTATCTGTTCCAAGATACTTCAAAATTTGCCACTTATTTCCTTCGCACATGGAAATATAAATACGAAGAAATAAATAAAATGAATGTGAAGGATATGATTTTTTCGAATAATGGCGTGGAATCATTTAACAAGGTACTGAACTCACACATAATATATCCACATCCAACAATTTTCCATATGATATATACTTTACTTCAAGTTGATACAGTAATCGCTCATAGATATTTAACCAATCAACGAAACCAGTATGATCATAAAAAATCGTACTATATCTCGTTAACTAAAATTAATGAAGAATTATTTACTTTTGAAAGAAATTTTAATCTCGAAATTTCAGAAATACCAAAAGAAGAAATTGACAAATACAAAAATCAATTTCATCCAGGAGATATTGATTATCGTGATATTGAAATTGAGAAATTTATGAACAGGAATGATTCAGAGATAAATGATTCAATTAAAATAAACTTAGAAAATGATGAAGATGGAAAAATCACAGAATTTACATTAAATGAATCAGATGTATTCAATTGAAATATTTTTAAATGTTATAAATATTGTGTTTATTGAACAATTGTTAAAGTGTTTTTAGAATTTAATATATGGAAAGAATAGATGGAAACATTGAATGTTAAGTTATAAATTAAATTTAATATATTGATAACAAGATATTGTCATCGTTGAGATTGATAATATAGGTAGTAATTATGAAAAAATGTAAGAGATGGATAACAATTTTATAAGAAATTGACTTGATATTTAGAGATTCTTTTAAATCATACGACAATCATAGTTTACTATGATTCAAAATAGATTTAAATGACAAATATATTATTATTAGATATGTAAACATGTCAGATATCTTTAATTTTAGTAATATTTTTTAATTTTCCTATAATAACTTCATTTAATCATCTTCAATATTCTTCTTTCTTTTTTCTATTCATTATTCATTTATTTATTCATATTTTTCTCTTGTTATCTTCTTTTGATCTTCAGATTAATCAAATCTTTTATTTTTTTCTCAGTTACTCACTTAACAATCGCCGTATATTGATATATTGTCGAAAATAACGTAAATAGCGATAAATTCTCTTTAATATCTCGCAAAGTTATGAACGTTTAGCAATTATCGAATGTAGGTAAATCTAGCTTATACATAAACATATCATTCATTTCAAATTGAACTATTCGTATGTATTCTTTTTTTGCTTGTCACACTTGAAAGATGTTCTTATTTTTGAAGTAGAAAATTTAAGTTGGTTGTTTTTCTTTGAAACTCTTGTAGATGCTAGATCTTTATAATATTTTGTTATGAACAATATTTTTTCGTCTTGATTTCAATATTTTCTCGATAAAAATTTGAAAATTTGATAATAATATGTGAGTTTTTCAAATCTTTTATAATACGTATCTCATACATATTGTTTTAAACATACCTTTAGGCGAAAGACATGAAGAAAAGCAATGCATAGAGATTTTGTTTCCATTAACGGACAAAAATAATCGTGTGTCATAATATGCGCAGTTCTCAATTTTGCGCATATTTTGACAAAATTTTGAATACTTTTGCTCTCAATTTATAGAAAAATGTCAGAAAAAGTGTCATAATATGCGCAAATATGCGACAAAAAATAATCTCTCGTATTTGATATATATGCTGATGATCTTCATCAAATTCTGATGGTTTTCGATGATAAATGCAGCGCATATATGTTTTTGTTAGTAAATTGTAATGTATCGCTAAACAATAACAATAAAGTCTTTTTCGTTCTTTCGATTTTTCGCTTGTATCTGGAAGATAAGCAATATTGAAACATACTCGACATTTATTATTAGTTGAGAATTAAGTATCCTCGAATTTTGGTAAGGGAGGTACTTTTCGAGGGATATTTTTGGGAGGAAGTTTGCAATCAATCCATCCCTCAAATTTGGATTCATATTCATCTTGTGTTTCAGTCATTAATTCTTAAAAATAAAAAGGGTAAAAACTAAATAAAATGGGGAAAATTCAATAGTGTCTGTGCTATCGTTCAATTTGAAGGTGTCTTTTGAAACCGCAAGACACATTGAATTTTTGAATAGTGTATTATGGTTTGACAGACACCAATGAAAAAAATAAAATGATATTTATTTTAAATATATAAGATCCTTATATAAAATATAAATATTTTATCGTTTTATTTTCTTGTTTTAGAAATGTTTTTTATTGAAAAATCAATAAAACTAACTCCAAAATAAAATTTTTGATTTAAAGACACTATGATGACACCAGGCAAATCTTCCAAGACACCTATCGTCGGGAATCTAACAACCCTAAATATAAATAATCATATTCTGTCTTTCATAAATTTCCCGAATTGCTAATTTTCTTATCAAATTTGTTATTTTTTATATTATTTTTAAAATTTTCAATTTTTTAGAAATTTTTATTCAATTTTATGTTTATTTTATTTTATTCTTATTATATAATAATATTATTCAAATTAATTGTTATAATTTTTGAATGCATACGATAATTTATAATTCAATTTTTAAGTCAATGTTTTGATGGGACGAGCTTACTGAGCATAGGCTCATCCCATCAAAACATTGACTTAAAAACTCTGGCCTTCATCGAGGCCAGAGCTCACAATTCATCTCCTCATAGTCAAGTTCCTCGACGATCTTCCTCATTAGGCACGATCCGAGAGGAACTTGGCTCTGAACGAAAATCACAAGCTCTGGCCTCAGTAAAGGCTCTCAAAGACCGCCCTGATTCGGGGCGGCCTGAGAGGAATCCAGTCCCGAGAGAACATCTTTACGAAGCTCTGGCCTTTTCCGAGGCTAGAGTTTGCTAATTTAATCCTCAGGGCCGAGTTTTGACCTCATCACCAACATGATGCAGGTTCAAGTCAAAACTCGGCCCTGAAAGACTTCAAATTACAGGCTCTGGCCTCAGCAAAGGCCAGAGCTTCGTCTACAGTCCCCAGGGCCGGATTTCTCAAATGCGGGTTCTTCCCATTTTTTGCAAAAAAGTGAGAATCCCAAATTTTGCATGCCAAATTTGGTAAATCGATGAATATTGGATATTTCCCAGATTTGATATTATATATAATCAGGACATATTATATGTATTCTTTTAAAAATATTAAATTGTAGATTGCACATATATTAAGATACTTATTATTTGAATCACATTAGAGTTATGAAATAAGTATATGAGTAATATAGGCTTGTCTTGAACCTCAGGTTTTGACTATTTAAAATGGTAGATATAATAGGTATAAAAAGAATCACAATGCAATATAAAGTAAAATTGTGTTCTAAGTGTTGGGTAATGCGTAAATGTTTTTGTTGTATGTGGTGAATATGTGGCCGTTGTGTTTTGTGCAATTGTATAGATCAAAGGTAGAAAATAATGAGATGCAGAAATGTTTGATACGGGAAAGGGGTCCTTTCTCAAGGTCAGGGCCCCCTTCTAGTCTTTCTGGCCCTGGAAGGAGCGCTTCTGACCGGTCTGGGCGCTCCTTCCGGCATCATCTTTGCATTTCGCAATTGTCGCGGCAAGTGCATTCTGGCACCACAGTTGCACTTGCCGCGACATATGATTGCGAGTGTCTGCTGCTCAGCCCCGGATTCGCAGCAGACACTCGCAATGCGAAACAAAGTTCGCCAGAAAGACCGGGAAGGGGGTCCTTTCTCAAGGTCAGGGCCCCCTTCTAGTCTTTGGGCCTGGAAAGAGCGCTTCTGACCGGTCTGGGCGCTCCTTCCAGGAAGATTAGAAGATTGCGGTAAGTTCGTCAGAGTTGACTATAAACGAAACGCTGGCCCATGCTGAGGCTAAAGCATAGTATTTCCTCCTTCCAATGGTCGGACTTCTCTCCTGCCGCCCTAGATTAGGACGACATTTGAGAAATCCGACCCTGAGGACTGTAAGCGATGCCTTAGTCTCGGCTGAGGCCAGAGCCTTTGTGTATAGGTCTTTCAGGGCTGAGTTTTGACGAGAACGTCTATCA